TTCTTTACCAAAACCACCAAACGGACTAAAATTAGAACATTTTTTCATTTGAGTTTGACACAATATCTTTGTGTCCATGTGTCCATCCTCATCTGCTTATCAAATTCAGAGTTGTGGGGTGAGGTGGAGGCGCATGGACCCTATTCCAGCTGCCACAGGCCGAGAGGTGTGGTACACCCTGTACAGGTCACCAGTCTGTCAGAGAGATGATAGCTTTTAATCTATTTTTTTTGAGTGAACTATAATGAATAATTGAACGAACTATGCTTGGATAAGAATTATCATAGAAAAAAATAAACTTTTAACCTGACCTTGAATAGTTTTGGAGACCTCAGCCTGTTGACTTAACGAGTCCCTTCCTCCTTTTGGCCACTAGGTGTCAGTGTCTGCCTGCAGGTCACAGGTTTGTCTCACAGCTGGGTTTACTCTGCACACTCACATTAAAATAACTGACAGAAATATATATTTGTATAATTTAGACTTTCACTTGCAGGATGAACTTGTAAATGTGATGCATTAACAGGTCAGAGATGGAAAATCCACACGAGGAGGCACCGCGTCGAGGCACCGAGGTTACACTCCCCATAAGTCTGATGATCAGTGAGGGAAAAGTTGTTCCTATCTCCAGAAGACAGATACAAACATTAGCCATGGCTTCATAGTTTTCCAAGATAACGGCTTCAAATGCATAATAAGATTAAAAGATTGTTATTGTTTGTTTTTCCTCCCTTGGTTGCTAAGACTTTGCAGGACATTTCTTGAAAAGCCAGAAATCTTTGCAGACATCTCACCATGTGGCTGCTCCTCATAAATCGTTGCATATGTTCATAAAAGTGGATCCGTAGAGTTGTGGTTCACACATTTGCTTAACAAGCGTCCCTGGTTTGATCTCGGCAGGAGACACAAGTCCCTCAGGATTGGACTCATTTCATTCAGATCTGCCTGCTGTGGTGACCCTTTGTGAAAAAAGTAACTTTAATTAAACTGTATACAAACATTTAACATGAGATGTAAAGTGAGCATAGACTGCATGTGAAAGATGGACGTGTCTTCCACTTCTGCAAAATGACGCCAGCGCACAACTGTCCAAATCATGCATTCTTTCTAATCTCCAACAGGGGGCGACTCCTCTGGTTGCACAGAGTGACTGCTTGAGAAAACGACCCTCAGCTCCTTCCCTCACTCACACTTTCCTGATAACTATATATATATATATATATATATATATATGCTAATATTTACACTTAAGAGAAAAAAACTCACGCTGACGTTTGATTGAGGGTTTATGAGTCTGATCTGTTTGTTGTTCAACAGCTATGAATGAAGTATTTTTGGACGCAGCTGCACACTTTTGTTCGGGAAGACTGTGGAGCTCGAGTCTGACGTTGTTTCTGCTGTTCTGTGGTGGAAAAGTCGATGCAGGCAGCTCAAGTAAGAGAAGCAGGTCTCATTATGAGGCAGGCTGACCAGCAGCACAGCCTGCAGCCTGCAGAAGTTTCATCATGAGTCTCTTTGACAGTTTCAACAACAGCTGCACGTCATCGCCTCCACAAAGAGGCCTGTTGGAATAGCCTGCAGCAGTTTTAGTCACTTTGAGTTAAAAATGGAGTAGGCACCATGTTTTAGGTGTCAGTGGACAAAAAAACACAACAATTTCTCAGCATGCTGCTAAGGAAGTGGTCGGAGAAGGAACTACACTTCTGCACCTCCTTGTGACTGTGTTCGTGCTTCAGAAAATCTCACCTGTGACTGGAGACTTTGGTTAGTCACTGTTGTTTGAAGCAGGATAAAGAACAATGCGATGGCATGCACGTCTAGAACAGAGAGCTGCAGGATCTACTTTCAGTAGAGTTTTCTGTATTTCTGAGGGACACGTTTACACGATCCACCATCTGAAGACTTGATCTGAACCCCTGAACAGTTTGAACTCTGTCAGCCAGATGTGATACTGTGTGAAATGGAACAATATGAGTTGGTCTCTTTGTTGTAAAGCACCAGATTTTTAAAAAAATAATCATTCTTGTATTTGGATGATTGTTTGTCGAATTTTCATTCTTACATTTCTTTCCCTTCTTTGTGGCTTTTAGCCTGTCAGTAGGGTCATGCAAAAAACTGCATGGTCAAATGTAACTGAACCACCTTTGCATTTATTAACAGGTGCATGTGCAAGAAAGACTTTTGGACTGTTATATATTTTTCGCTGACTGGTCTTGGTGACGTCTGTGCTCTCTGCACTGGCGTTCTTTGCTGTTCTGCTGCTCCGTGCTGTCTAAATTTCATTGCTCCTCTAAACAAAGGAAGTTTGGTGGAGTTAAATCCTGCTGTTTGTCACAGCTGCTGGTGTCCCCAGTTTAAGGTTTCCTTCAGTATCTGTACCTGCAGCACTGGGTTTAGGCAACAATCAGATGGATCTGTCACTCCCATTTCTTGTAAAGGACTCCTTCACTTTTAACCTCACTGGTTAAACGTGTTTTCTTCAGCATGCAGGGTTAAAGATGTGAAAGGCGAATGTTTGAACCCAAATCACCTTTTTTGAAAAAAACAAAACAAAACAAAACGTAGATTTCAAGGACATCTTGTGCATAACTTGCCAGAAGCATCTTAGGGTGCACTCACACTAGGTTCTGTGTCCTTATACTATTAGAAGTGAATTAGAAAGGGACGCCTATAAAGCACAGTTAGGTCAATAAGTTTATGCATACTTAATCATGACCAGCAATCGCAGTACAGGCGTACCACCTCAACTTCTGACCTGTGGTATGAAGCGACCATATGCAAACACAAACATGCTTGTGGACGGTACGGCACACCTGATACGAGCGCACCCGACGCCCCGCAATAGAGGTTTGTTTGCTAAAAGCAACCTTCAGACTTTACATCAGAACCTTCCCTACAGAAACATTACGTAATGCGTGCGATTCATAATACAGAATGCATCTGGTCATCGTTTGATAGGTTGCAACATCACCGGCTGGTGTTGTGACAAAATTAGTCTGTGGTGGCAAAATAAGCAAACCGCAGGGAGACTTTTCTGCAAGGTTGTAGTAACCTTCTAGAACGACACAAATACTGTGCAAACCCGTCGTTTTTATATAACTGGCTGGGAAAATGGGAAGAAGATGCTGTGATTTATTGAAACATGCACGAAACATACACGGAGATACGGCGTGGAAGGCAAAAATGACTCTCACAAGCTTTGAAGTTAAAATTTGACATGATCACCTTTCAGCAGCTTTCTATCATTTCTTTAGGTATCTTCAGGCTTTTTGAAGAACACCGAAACAGCCTTTTGTTCTCCATCAGGATGATCCCACACTGCTGCAGCCATGTTGACGTCCGGCCTCTGGGGAAGTCAATCCATGACTGATGTGCGTTTCCATCCAGGTGAACTTTTACTGTACTGGCAGCGTGTTTGGGATCATTGTCCTGCTAAAAAATGAAGCTGCTCCAAATCAGATGCTTTCCAGATGCTCTTGCACGGTGGATCGAATCGGACTTTTCTGCATTCATAATTTCACCAATTTTGACAAGATCTCCAACGCGAACCATGACACAGCCTCCGCAGTGTAAAGCGGGCAAAATAAAAAACGTATGTAAGTCCTTATAAACTCCAGTTATCTGCACTCAAACACTTTATTCAGACAGTTCTGTTTGATGATCAGTGACAGCACATCATCAATAAGTATCGATGTTAGAAGAGCCATCAAAAGAGCATA